ATACCCTCCTGGGAGAAAGAGGGGGTTAAAGAGAAAGCAAGGAGGAGAAGGAGAAGAAGCACGAGGAGGAGAAACAGCAGCACGAGGAGGAGGAGGAGCAGCACGAGGAGGAGAAGCAGGAAGAGGAGGAGAAGCAGCAGGAGAGGGAGAAGCAGGAGGGGAGGTGAAGCAGGAGGAGGAGAGGGAGAAGCAGGAGGAGGAAGAGAAGGAGGGGGAGGAGGGGTAGAAGCAGCAGGAGGAGGAGAAGCAGCACGAGATGGAGAAGCAGGAGGAGAAGCAGGAGGAGAAGCAGGAGGAGAAGCAGGAGGAGGAGGAGGAGGAGGAGGAGGAGAGGGAGAGGCAGGAGGAAGACAGGAGCGGGAGAAGCAGCAGCAGGAGGAGGAGAGGGAGGAGGAGGAAGCGGAAGAAGCAGGAGGACGGGAGGGGGGGGGAGAACCAGGAGAAGGAAGAGAAGCAGGAGGAGGGGAGGAGGGGGAGTAGAGGGAGAAGGAAGAGAAGCAGGAGGAGGGGAGGAGGGGGAGTAGAGGGAGAAGAAGGAAGAGGAAGAGAAGAAGCAAGAGGAAGAGGAGAAGCAGGGAGCAGGAGAACCAGGAGGAGGAGAAGAACCAAGAGGAAAAGGAGAGGGAGCGAGAAGCAGCAGGAAGAGGAGGAGAGGGAGAAGAAGGAAGAGGAGGAGAAGCAGGAGGAGGAGGACCAGGAGTAGGAGGAGAAGCGTGAGGAGAAAAAGGAGGAGAAGCAGGAGAAAGAGGAGGAGAAGCAGGAGGAGTAGGAGACGGGGCGAGGATAGAACGAGGAGGCCAGGAGAAGGAAGAACAAAGAGGACGCGTTAGCCGTGGCCGCATTCGAAGGATATGCGCCAAACTGCGGCCAGATACAGTCGAGCATCCTGCCCTGTTCTCCCCTGAATAGAACGTGAGGTCGTTTTCGCTGTATTTGTGGCAACTTTCAGTCTAGATACAGCAATAATTACCGTACGTTCTATTCGGGGGATGATGGTAGTGTGAGTATGTCATAAGTAACCAAGAAGTGGAGCGCACGGTTTCTGAAGATACCCATTGTGGTAACTATGATGGTTACTCTGTATATGATCACAATCGAAGGCCAGATTCATCTCTGTATGTGACCTCAATCGAGTGCCAGATTCAGTTCAAAGTCCTTCGTGTGTGAGTATATGCCAACAGTAACCAGTCTGTCGCCAGTATCTCGATGAAAAGGAGTGGCAAACATGCCGAAGMATTTATAAAAAAAAAAAAAAAAAAAAAAAGGTCATAAATAGACAAACAATATGCTGACAAGGATTACTACTGTGTCATTCGAACGAAAGTGAACCTTTTTTTTTTTCTCTTTTCCCTTCTTTTTTCTACATTCTTTT